AAGAAGAAGAAGAAGAAGAAGAAGAAGAAGAAGAAGAAGAAGAAGAAGAAGAAGAAGAAGAAGAAGAAGAAGAAGAAGAAGAAGAAGAAGAAGAAAGCCAAACGTTGCTGGAATACAGTCTCTCAAATAAGTATTCTTACAATTATACAATAAGACGCAAAGAAATCGAGGCTCTGGTAATTTGTTGCACAGTCGCAGAAAAGTTGTTGACCAAGTAATGACAGGTTGTTTTTTTCGGTTTGATCATAAGACACTTCCACGAGGTTCAGTCTGGCCTACAATGGATAGTACGGTATTGTTTATAGCAACATTATAAGATAAAAGGGAAAGCATATCTATTCACCATAAATCGTATCATACTCCTGGGTGCGCTCAGTTTAAATAAGCCAATGTATATTCCTATCGTGATAACTTCTTTCGATGTGGCTTTAGAGTAGAAAATAATAGTAAAGCAATGATAACGGGTATGTTCCGTATATCAGGGCTTGTGATATGAAGCTATGAATAATAAAGGTGGCGCCTGACGTGAAACTTTTATAGTTACCAGCTGACGAGCCCAAAGACGAACGAATCACCTAGATCATGTGATGTGGCTTTTTGCCTTGCATACACGACTATCTGTGGGGCTGTCTTCTGAATGAAGAGGAATGGTAATAAGACATTACAGAAAAACGGTGTGCTAGGCTCTAACATCTTCTGTAGGAGAATGTAATTTACCAGAGCTACATTCTTATGCAACGACTTCGACATATGGCTAGCAATCGACCGATCATCTGATGGTAAGCGCCCTCGTTGGGATTTGATGTGATGGAGAATGTCAAGTCTCGTATTAGCCATTTTTCCCCCATCGCTCCGACAGCCATTTCCTCTCCTCGCGTCTTCTTGTAGGAGGCATCTCGATAGATTTGTAGAAAAAACTCAAATACACAACGCCAAAGCCTGGAGTCGGCATGATTTTGAACCAGCGATGTATCAAGGCTTTTTTTCTTACTCCTGGAACATTATAAAAGATGAAAACTCCTCTTCTGAATCTAGTTACAAGGGTTTCGTGCTTAAATGAATGGATCTTCCAGTTGTAATCCCCGTCCTTGCAAGACTGGTAATCTTCGATGTATGTAGTCTAAGCATTTCCAAGTCTTGGTAAAGTAATGAAGGGCGAAGGCTGGCGTGCGGTTACCTGCTGCCATTATTGTGAAATCTGAATTTGCTTGCAAACAGGTCACCAGAAGGTTTGGATCGTGCTCTGTAGCCATGAGGGATTTCTATTTTACCTTATTTACACCCTCTTCAGAACGAAAAAAGTTTTCAATCTCAGCCACCAAACGTTGTAAGAGTTGACGAACGTGATAGAAGCCATCTTTGACAGTCAATATGAAGGAGACAGAGTGCAACAAAGTACGGCTTCATACAAAGGTTGCGTGAGTCGAAATGTCATGTCGTCCTTCAGCGATCTCTGAGGATTGTTTCACACAAACTTTCGGAGTCGAAATGCGACACAGATAGATGGACAGATTGGGGCTGGCACGTGCGCTGGTTCTTGAGCGAATTCAAGTCCTCTCACCGATCCATTCCTCCGTCACAACAGTCGTCTGTCTTCGTTGGCTGGGAACTTGCGGGAGAAATGACGTGTGTGTGTGTGTGTGTGTGTGTGTGTGTGTGTGTGTGTGTGTGTGTGTGTATGTGTGCTAGTTTGAGTGTTTGTGTGTAAATGTTTGTATATGCATTGGTTTGTGTTTTCTCCTTCGCTCCGACTACAATTTTATGTTTGCGTGAGAGTAATGAGGGAATAGCGACACTTTATTTTGTAATGTGGGTGTTTTTACACAACCTTCAAAACAATTTAGATCACTTAGGAAGCGGGCTTTGACCATGCCTGTCATGGCCAACCCGAGCTGAGAGATCAGT